CCATCCACCATATTCTACCCAGCTCCTTCAATAGAAATCATCCTTTCCCGCATTCCACGTAGTTTATGGACTCGCTCGCCACTGCAGTCAACCAGAAACAAAGAATCTTCAGAGACCCGCTAAGTTTGACAAAAGCTGTAAATGCCTTCTGCACATATGAAAACTTGAAGCCATCCAAAGGATTTCTTTTTCTTTTCTGTACAAAATGAATGCTGTCACAAAAGGCAAGATAAAACAAAGCAAAGCAAAGCAAAAAAAAAAAAAAAGCCAAGCATCTATTTGTGTATGCAGTCAGTTGTGACAGCAACATACTGCATTACCAGCAGGGGCCTGGGCCTGGACTCCTGCGCCACACTGGGCTTCATTTTCCTCCTGGGTAGCTCCCTAGATAACCCTCCTGTCAGAATTCAACTCCCTCCAAAGCAGCCAGGGATGAAATGGCCAGATGCTGGGTGGAAGGGCTGCACTAACATCCCGGGCACCGAGGCACGGAGGCCTACCTTTGTGTGTGGACTCAAACACAGGAGGCTTTCCAGTGCCCTGCTGTGTCTCAGTTCAGGCCGTCCACATGTGAAGGATCTCACTTGGCTGTGGTCCACGACTAAAGTTCAATAAATAATGATTTTGATAAGAATGCTGATCATAATTCTGAATGAATCAAGGATGCTATTATTATCATTTGGAATAAGGACCCTCTAGCAAGGAAACTTATTTCAACAGAGGTTGTACTTTCTGGAAACAAGGATCATAGGGCAGTGGCTCCCTTCTGTTGGTGGCCCTGCTAGGGTCCATGGTCCACTGGCCCAGCCTTATCGCATCAGCTCTTTTGCTGGCAACCCTAAAAAACAGTTAAGAACTAAGAGCCAATAAATGCAGCAGCAGGGAGAGAAAGCAAATTGGATCCAGTAAGTATCTGCATAGAGCTCATCACAAAGGTTAGTGCATCAGGCCTTGGGTGTACAAAGGCTCAGTCACAATGTTTCTTTTACTGTTAGGATTCAGGCAATTTTCTCCTCTCAATTACAAGGCAATTACTTCTCTCCAGGATTACAGTGGGAGGAGAGGGAGGAACACACGAAAGCTGCAGGGTTCCTTATTGACCACTAGCACTAATTGTTGCTTCCACAAAAACATAATACCACCTTTCTCATCACTGTCTCACCAGTACACCACTGCCCACCCAACTGTCTTCCAAGAGAATGTTGGTGTCTTTCTTGAGACGCCTCCCAACTGCTCTTTCTGAGCCTTCAAAAAATGGCTACCAAACTGGGCAGCGAAGAGTAGTGGGAGGGGGAGAGGGGAGAGTGTCCAGAGAAAAATGGCGTGACCCGTGAGAAGGAGGGCAGGAGGTAAGGGGCAGGAAGGGGCTAGTAAAGGCACTTCAGTCATGGACACCGTTGTAACTCAGGAGATAAACATCAGGAAACACAATTCTATCTTCCTACAGAAGCACTGTACATGAGATTTACTATGCTTCCATCTACCCCAGGACACAGGGCGCTGCTCAGACTCCACGTGGAAATAAGAAGCTGGGCAACAGCCAGGTCAGAAGAACAGAATGTTTCTTATCACACCGTCGCCCAGCTTCCTGGAATGCTGCACTTGGGTGGTGAGTAGCTCTGCCATGGAGACTTTGGCATGATCGCAGGGGGCTATGCAAGTGTGCTTAGGTCTCCAGAGATGCCCAGCTCAGTGGAAATCCAGAGCTTCCCCCCTGACATGTCAGGGTGAAGAGGGAGGAAGTTAATAAATACAAGAAAAGACTATCCAGGTTTTCTGGATGACTAAATATTGGGTCAAAGTCAACTAATATGTAACAATAAAGAGGTGAATACCTTTTATATACATTTATTAATTTTCAGTTTTTTGAGACAAGGTCTTGCTGTGTGGTCCTGGCTGGTCTCCATGAGCTCCATGAGCTTTTCATTTCAGTTTTGTGGGGTGAATATTCTTTCTAAGAATACTGTGTATTTTCTGAATTTGACTGGTATAAATTAACATGAAATAAAATTTCTCAGCTTTAAAATGATCCTATAAGCGGGCTGGGGATTTAGCTCAGTGGCACCATGCCTGCCTCACAAGTGCAAGGTCCTGAGTTCGATCCCTGGTACTGGGAAAATAATTATTTTTAATTTAAAAAATGATCCTATAAGCTAAAATTTTGATAGATCTCTTTATTGTTACATTGTATCAAAAATTACACTTCCATTTAGGCTTTGTAATAATATATTGGTTTATAGTCACAAATCAAATAAATTATAAGACAAAATCTTTCTAATCAGTTTTATTTTATTCATTCAGAATATAATTACCCTTCTCCTGAGATGTATGAATAACTTTAAACATTTAGTTCTATAAGCCAAAGGAAAGAATAACTTTCAAATCATCAACCAAACACAATCAGTAAACAATCTCAATAACCTGCTAGATTTTTCTTTTTATATAGTTTGCCAAATGGGAACCTTCTTTAAAGCATAGCACAGGCATTATTCCAAACTTAATAGCGTAGCCAAAACAGAAAACAGGATAAACAGCCATTTCAGGAGGGTCCCTGTGCCTCTCTCTAGGTAATTATTGGAATCCCATTATTAGCCATCCTGTGTTTTAGCCCAGGTTTTCAAACCAAGGAGAAGGCAGATTTTTCCGTGGTGAGAATTTGCACATTAGGACAAATTAAAACTGTGAACATAGTTTTTACATGCAACACCAGACAGGTGTAGGTAGCACTTCTCAGAGAAAGATGCGGATTGGTATGGGAATTCACAAGCCACAACCCACAGCTCTGGCTGCTTTCACCTGTAGATACCACAGAACATCAGTGATCCTGGGAAAAACAACTGAAATCTTTAGCTACAAAACAAAAACAAAAACCAACTTTCTTATTCTAATGTCAGAGGCCAAGTCTTGAGCAGCCTGGAGGCACTCTGAATACAAGTGTGCTTTAGAATTTACAGACATCTCTGCAAGTCTTTTCCAGACCCGGGAAAGAAACTAGGAAGACACTCAGTATTTGGTTTTGGCTGGATGAAACCACCCAGAAAGATAAAATGAGATATTTTAGTGGTTCTAATGAAACCTGACAACTATAAGTTCACATTAATCACTTACTAAAAGGCTAGGCAAAAAGATCGGTAAGAACTATGTATTGAGAAAGATGGAATTGAGCCTTTCTACTTGTTCTGATAGAAGGCAGATTTTTTAAAATAAAATATCTTCCATGAGATGAAAGAAAGATGAAACATGGCACCCAGCCAGGACATTCCCTTGGAACTACCCAGAGTGTGCAAGGAAGTAGGACAGAGCCCACTATTGCACCCCAACCGTTAGACCTTACAGTGCTGCTCCCCACGGTTCCTATGTTTGTCTTGTCTTCATGTATTTTGCTTGCTTTAGAAACCATATTTACAATAAGCCCCTGCCCTTCCTTTTCACCTCTCATAGGTATTACACCATGTATTAGCTGTAGAAGGTCACATCACGATTTATTAGTGATAACTAATATTTTATTGTGAAGCCACTCTACTACTCAACACCATTATTACTAATTCATAATTTCTAATACTTGTGACTTGGTATGAACATATGCCATATCCTTATGGGTTGAGTAGACTGTTATATCACTTTTCTTTGTGGATGTTTTTTACTTTATAAAATATGGACACTTGTAGGGGACAGGTATATCAGAACTTTACAGTAAGTCATTTTGCCTTAACTAAGGGAGCTTTCTGTTAAAAGATCCACTATACAACATCCAGGATTTTAAAATATTGGTTATGATTACTAATCATTTTGTTAGTCTTTGTTCATTTTCATGTTTTAAGGACTCTTCAAGTAGAACAAAATGTGTGCTATTTGATTTACAAAGCAATATTCATTTCTAGGTTACTGATTTGGGTATTTCTAATGGTATTCTGAAACACTGTAAGAACTATTTAGACATAAAAAAATCACATTTATTTATTTATTTATTTATTTTATTTCCCCCAGTACCGGGGATCAAACTCAGGACCTCACACTCACCAGGCCAGCCTGGCACCACTGAGCTACATCCTTGGCCCTGAAATCCTTTTTAATACAACACAATGAATGTGAATTTAGCAGAGGCATGAATCACTTCCTCTTAATTACTAAACAACATCTCAATGGATCAATTTAAGAATTCTAAAGAATAAGGCACAACACGCTGGCAGGATTTTACTACTTCAAAATCTTACATATGAACTTCTTAATTAAAATCCCTGAGAGTGTATTTATTAAACAAAATCTATGAGGCATGGAGTGCTCTCATAATTCCTAAGAAAGCTATTCATGGGTTGAGATACAGTTCTCTGAACTGTATTCCAGATCTGCAGTTAAGATATTTTTCATCAAGTTCGGGACTATAATAGATGGCTTTTCAGAAGGCCCCACAGGCCTGACAGGGTTTGTTCTAGAGCTGATAATTCTAAATGACATAATGGGAATGAGGTGGGCAGCAAGAGTGGGGAAGGGATTTATAAAGCAGAAAACACATTTCCAAGTGATATTTAAACTTCCAAAACTGACCTTTTATTATTATTTTATCCACTGAGAGATGAGAAAAAAAAGGACTGCGTGTTCTCAGGGTTTTGATATATGATTGAATCCAAATGAAAATTCTTATTAATGATGTCCCATAATTTTTAATCTTTAGTTTCTTCAGAAACGTATTTTTATTAGCAGTTTTTAATCTGTTGCATATTTTCTGTGCTTTATGACTGATGATTTAGCAAAACAGAATTCTTATTACAATATGAAAAGAAGAAAGGGCTGGTTTTCTTCACTCTGTAGCTGATTAATCCTCTTTGACAAGTAGTATGATAAATGCTTTTGCATCTACGTACCTATTCCCTGTCTTTTATTATACTCTCTAGATTGCAAAGTATTAAATATGGTAATAATGTTACATAATCACATTATTTTTATGGTAAAATTCCTTCTTTAACTACTAATTTAATCATTTTAAGAAGACACACCCCTACCTTTGAAGGTCTTCTTATCTGAAGAAGTTGTCCTTCCTTTTAATTCTTTAAATCAAAGGTCCTCTTAGCATTTCTCTGTGGATTGAAGAATGGGGGAAAATGTTAACAAGACATTGGCTGTCATCAATCACAGCAGACTGTCAATACATTAACTCCAACTAACTCCCTGATGGGAAACACAATTGCAGAGAGAGCCCTGCAAGGAAAGACAAATTATGAATCCATTTGCCAAAACATCTCTCTGGTGGCTTCAATCAAAAGTGACAGCAGAGGGGTGACTAGAAGTCTGGTGGATATCCCATAAGTGGACTCCAGGCTAAAGAGTCCTGTCTGCTTTCTATTTTCATTTTAGAGAACAGAAGATTATATATAGAGAGGATATATATTTTTATATATAGTACATGAAGTATGTCTTTGCTGATGGCTTACTATTATTATTTTTAACTAGTAGCACAGGAATTCTTTTTTCTATGTTTGAATGAAGTTCAAAACGAAGATCATAGATGATGCAACAATCAAGCTCTGAGGACAAAGTTTCACCTGGCCTATGACCAAGGCTCAGCTATGGACAGCTCCAGACTTCAGCATGTCCAGCTCTATTCGCCTCAGCTTTAATCTCTTCTTTCCAAACATTCCAACTAAAAATTAGCCAGAAAAAGGGACCATAAATGGGGACGAGAACAATCACAGCTGAGCACATTACGCTTCAATTTTTAGACAGCCAACTCAGTGACACACAAGGTTTTCTAAGGGAGGGTTTGTGTCTTTTTGGAATTTGGATTTTTGAAAACAGAAGGCATACTATCAACCTCTGAAAACATCTTTCAGAGAGGATAAACAAGTATCAATTCAAAAACTCTGAACTGCACTCAAATATCAGGACTTACCATGAATTCCAAAATTATTCCAGGAATGAAACAGAAAGGCATGAAATAATCCCAGCTGCTTTAGTTTATGCCTGTGTTGTAAAATATTCTATTTTAATTTGCTAAAAAAACTTTATCTTAATTGCACGCAGAATTATTCTTTATAAGTTTTCATTGCATCTAGTGCAATGGTATTTTATCAGGATTCAATATTGGTGTTGTGGAAGTTAGTGATTCTTTCTTAAAGATGAAACCAATTTTAAAGTAATAAAGGTTTTCTTGTCATTTTGGTTCCACTTTTTAAAAAACCCTCTAGAGTGTACAGGAGACAGTTTACAGGAATTTGAAGCTGTGTCAACAGTAACAATTTAATTAATAGACGAGCATTTAATATGTATCTGTCAATACAATGGATAGATATACTGTAGGAAAAAATTAAATACAAATAAGATATGCTTCCTACCATCAGAGATCTCAGTTCACTTGCTGATCAGGAAAACAGCCAGAAATATCACCAACCACCCCCAAATACAGCATTTTTAGAATGTTGCCAGACCACGGAAGAAGGAACAATTAATTTTACAATGAGACCTTAAGGCCAGCTTTCCAAAGGAGATAGCAATAGAGTGGAAGTTTAAAGATGGGTATCAGGGCATCCTGGGAACAGAAAAGTGCAGGTGCAAGGCAAGGGGCAGTGAGCGAGTGAGTGGCAGTGAAACCAGAAGGCAAAGGGCACCCGCCCCTCTAGTAGTTTGAACATTAACTTGAGAACAGTAGAGACCCACTGAAGATTTTAGATGAGAGGAAAGAATATTTGTCAGTAGTAAGTGACAAGTGGGCACAGCTTGGCTAGGGAGACTGTTGAGGAGGTGTTCAGCAACCAACGCCAGAGGTTCTCAGTTTCCAGGGTAACCCCTGCCTCCTTCGCAAGTCCACCCCCAACAAGCACATACTGACTCCTCCGGAGATGCATCAGGATACCCAGATGGAAAGAACCTGAGATTGAGACTACTGACTGGGCAATGGTGACTGCTATTATTCCACATCCTTCATTAATGAAGTAATTCGGTGATTTGTATTTGTCTCGCTGAGTGCACCTTTATGGGTGAGATTCTGTAGGTTGGCATGTGGGTGTGGTCTTGGCCCCTTCTTCTGCAGCCTGTCATCTCTCACTCCACCATGTCTCTCCCCCAGGGCAGCTTGGCCCTGCGCTTCTGGCGATACCCAAAACCTCAGGCAGCCAGGTCAGGCAGTCAGTGTCCTTTTCCGTGGATCAGTCTCTCCCTTACCTGGCAGTGGTAATGGCCAACCCTGGTTTGTGCTTAAGGAAGTCAGACCCTGCCTGATCCCCATCAGGGGATCTCTCTGCTTCCAGGCCATTCAAACCGACTCCTTCATTCAGGGGAAAGGAGGATGCCACCTCTTCCAGCCTAGTAAGATGGAGTTCTGCATTGAGATTTGAGGCCAAAGCCTATCTAACAATAGTTTCACCTGTCTTGATTTGTCAATGTCACCACTACAAGTATCTTCTTTGGGGATCTGAGTCAGAGTGTAATGTAAGGATGACTGCGTCCCCTGGCTAAAAACACAGCGCAAGCCTTCACCTCCAAGTAATCATGTCTGGTAAAGCAAATATGCAACTCAAGAGGGTTGCTTGTTCCTTCTTTCTTAAAATCTCTTTTTAAATAAATTTCTGTATGTGGTAAAATCAACAGAAACTTAGAGAGTGCTCCAGTTTCCGGAGCCAAGCCCTTTAGGGGACTCTTTTTTCCAAATGTTTGGCAGTCCTCATTGTTTTAGAAAAACCTATGCCAGTGGTGTTGAACCTATGGCACATGTGCCACAGTGGGCTGTTTGTATCATTGAAAGCTCTAAAAGGTTCACCATCACTGACCTATACTATGTAGCTATGGAGCTATTGCCAAAAAATCTAAATCACAGACAACCTGAAGCTACAGCTAAATATTGGAGAGTTAATCAACTGAAGATGTATCAGTAAAATTACTGTAATTTTTCCTAGACGTAAGAGAACTAAGATTTAATGAGATCCTATTAAGGTCCAGAGTCTGTGTGCATAGTATACCAAGTGTTGCACAAGTTCTATAAGTATTATTGGCTCTTTGATACAGGAGAAGAAACTGAAGCACAGAGAAGTTAAATAAATGACTCTAAGTAATACAGCTGGAATACGAAACCCCTTCTGTGTAAATACAAAAGCTGTGTATTTTTACTTTACACCATAGTATTGAGAGAGGACAAGGATAAACTTGGGAAGTGCTGCCAAGATTTCAGAAGAGGACAGCAGAAGAGGAAGCTGCCAGATAGAGTAGCCAAACTGAGACAGGCATGGAGAAAGCCAAGAAATACTGGGTCAGGAAGAGAGAAGATGGACGGAGAGAGTTCAAAGCTTCAGGAAGAATCCAAATGGGGTGAGCTCCATAGCTGCCAGTGGGGAGTCCCCACAGCTCTGAGTTGGAACTCTCAGTGTGTCTCCCATGTTCTATGGTCTAAAGTTTCTGTGACTCCTATTGCCCTTTCATTTCCAGGCTTCCCTGCCAAATGTATTTTAATATTTCACAAGAAGGCAAGTATGAAAATGCTACCAGGCAGAGTATGGAAGAAGATGCATTTGAATGTACATTTTAAAGGGAAATCAAAGAAATGTGGTTCTTTTGATAAGTGCTGTTTATTTTTTGCATAATTCAATTCAGGGCAAAATATCGTGAATGAAGCATTTAAGTAATTTTCATGGGTATGGTTCCAAGGCATCATGTAGGAGAATTATTTCATCCTTACTTGTATTGATAGAGCCACATTTTTAACCTCCATATGGCAATTGAAATCCACAAGACTTTGCAAAGGCCACCAAAAGACTGCATCTTAATTGTATTACCATGTCAGCAACTATGCCAAACATTTCCAAGAAATGAATTTTTGTTGCATTCATTACTTGTCTTCGATAACTGTATCAATGGACTTTCATCACTTTGAAATGCATTTAGGTCAATGGAATAGGGTGATACATCATTGCCAAGGACTATTTTTTCAATAACCAAGTAGCAATTTATTTTGAACCAAAATACAATAAACTTGTTGTATTAACTAAAACTGGTCCTAAGTCAAAAGATTAAGAAGAAATTTGATGTATTTTACAAATAGCCTTCAGAAAAGATGAATAGCATCTAGGTGAAAAATGTAAAAAACCCAAAAGCCATAGCACACATAATAAACCAATTATAATGAGAGTAATTTAGAAATATTATATAATATATAATATGAAAAAATTCAGTAATTCAAACAAGTGAATACTTGCCTTAGCCACTCCTAGAAAAATAAAAAAATGGACTTCCTAACTGTCCTAAACTAAATTGCTATTAATTGACATATATATTTTTACAGGATTGTTTTGTTTTATTTTAAAATGAGAATCCATAACATTCAATACAACTGAAAATCAGTTACTGCAAACCACTATTAGGTAAAAAATATAATAAAAATATAATATAAAAAACAGTTCATAATTTTATCCAGTTCACATGTATGGTGCAACGGTAAAGACATTAACAATATTTACTCTTCAGTTCTTGTGAGACTGATTTCTAAAAACTGGCCTTTTGCAGGGGCTGGGGATTTAGCTCAGTGGTTCTGCCACCTGCCTCACAAGCGCAAGGTCCTGAGTTTCATCGTGGGTACCAAAAACAAAACAAAACAAAACAAAACAAAACAAAAACTGGCCTTCTGAAAGAGATGGCCCAAGGTAAGTGACATTCACATATCGAGCATTTGACCTCCGCCAGCCAAGTCTGTTTTCAATTGTGACAAATATTCCCTGTTCACAATCTTCAAGACAAATATAGCTGAGAAATACTTTTAAGAACATCAATTTTGAAATCTTTACATGTAACAATATATGTACATACCATGTGCACTATTATGTATTTATACAGCATGCAAAAATATCTTGCTGTTTTATCACTATAAAATGATATAATTTACAAAATTATTTTTAATTTTTGGCCTTAACAAAACTTGAGTAGTATGAAAATCATAGACAAACCCTGAAACTTTTTTTTCTTAACTTTCTGCTTTTGACATGATCCTTGGACTGAATTTGGGACCCGATCATACTTACCAACTGGAGAAGAGAATAACAATGCATTCATCTTCGGTTTCTCTGGGGTATGCCTACCATCCAGCACCCTAATTCAC